GCTCCTGGCCGCTCCTGGACAACGACTACCTGTTCGTGCAGGCCACCAGCTCGCCGGTGGCCAAGGGGTCCAACGCGACGGTCACCAGCAAGGTAACGCTGCTGCGATGGGGCTGGGCGGCAAATCCGGGGGCAGGGCTCCCTAAAATACCTGGGGAGGGCAGGAGTTGCTTCGGCGAGACCCAGGGAGAGCGAGGAAGGAGGAAGGAGAGGGATGAAGGCTGTCAAGGGGACCCTCAAGTGCTCCCATTGTCACGGGGTGACAACATGGTCTGTGGGGTACCCGGAAGGATCTTGCTGGGTTTGGCTCCGTCTCCGTTTTCCGTTGCTTAAATGGTGCTAAAAAAAGAAGGAAAGGAAAGATCGCTGTTATCCCGAAAGAACCGTGGGAGGGATGGTTTGGGGATGGATCAGTGGGGTGGACGCGTATCCTGGGATACCCCGGACACCTTGGGATGGGGACGCGGCCGCCGCGCTCACCTCCCTCCCGCCCCGCTCCCCGCAGCTCACCATCATATTCAAGAACATGAAGGAATGCATCGACCAGAAGGTCTACCAGGCCGAGCTGGACAACGTCCCGGCGGCCTTCCAGGACGGCTCGGTGAACGGGGGCGCGCGGCCGGGCGGGAGCAGCCTGGCCATCCGCGAGCGCGCGCCGGGGCGGCACGTGGAGATCCGCGCCGCCTACATCGGCACCACCATCGCCGTGCGCCAGGCCGGCCGCCAGCTCTCCTTCTCCATCCGCGCCGCCGAGGAGGTGGCCCGGGCCTTCACGGAGGAGCAGGACCTGCAGCTGTGCGTGGGCGGCTGCCCCCGCAGCCAGCGCCTGTCCCGCAGCCCCCGCGGGCGCGGGCGCGTGCCGGCCGACACGGCGCGGGCGCTGTGCCGGGAGATGCTGCCCGTGGAGGACGTCTACTTCCAGTCGTGCGTCTTCGACGTGGTGACCTCGGGCGACGCCAACTTCACCATGGCGGCCCGCGGCGCGCTGGAGGACGCCCGGCTCTTCCTGCCCGACGCCGAGAAGCTCCACATCTTCCAGGCCGGGGCGAGCTGCCCTCGCGTGTCCTCGTCCCCCCTCCTCCTCCTCCTCCTCCTCAGCTCTGCTCTTTGGGTGGTTTTGTTGCACTTTTAACCCCCGCTCGCTCCGTGTGGGACCCGGGAGAGCGGCTGGCTCCGGATCCGTGGCTGCGACCGGGAAAGACCTTGGATCAGGGGTCTCTGCAGCCGAAAGGAATTGGAGACCTGGACCACGGGAAAGGGGAGAGGTGACCCCCTGGTTTGCACTCACTGCTCTCGCATGGGTGGTGCCAGCTGATCCCAGCTCCTCTCCTGAAGGCACATCCCAGGTTTTTGGTTCGATTCTCACGTGTTCCTTTTTCCCTAAGGATGTGACGTTGCAGCAAAATAAACACCCAGGGTTAGAAACCCCCTCTGCCCCCCAGAGCCTTCCCATAACTCACTTCCCATCTTTCTCCTGGTGTTAATCCAGCAGAATTTCGTTCAGGAGCCCTACAAATCCAGAAATAACGGACTCAAAGCCCAAATCCCAGTTTTTAGCAGTTTGGTGGATTCGGGACCCTTCACCCAGAAGCAGAGCAAGGCCATGAGTCGGTTTTGGGAGCGTTGTGACCGAGGGGGGAACCAGTTTTGTCCATCTCCTCCTCTTCCAGGATCAACAGCAGGCTGATCTCCAGCAGTGGGAGCTGTGGAGCACCAGGCCTCGGATCTCCCAGGCCACTGTTGCTATTTTTCCTTGTTGTCTTGGCACCTGTTGGGGACTTGATTTAGCCGGGTCTGGACTCGGGACCAGCATCAGGTTTCAGGGAGGGGAAAAAAACACCCCTTGGGAATCTCTCTCCCTTGGGCCCAGATTCTCTGCTGCTCCTCAAATCCAACCCAGACCGGGGGTTTCGCTTGGAAAACAGAATTCCTGATGGCAAAGAGCCAGCTGGGCACACGGATGGGCAGGGGAACCCCCCGGGGAAGGTGCAGGACTGAAGAGGGGAGGGCAAATTTCACGTGTTTCAGAGGATTTCAGCAAAGCAGCCGGAGTTCTAAAGGAGAAATGTTTTCCATAGGAAAAATTTCCCTTTATTTTTAACAAAATTTTTAACAGGCCATCCCTGTCCCTGTGGAGCTGCAGGAAGAGCCTTGCAGCGCTCCATGGGGAGAAAATCCTTCATGGGAATAAGATCCTCTGAAGGGAGAAAATCCTCCAGAGCAGGGTTGAGAGTGCTGGAGCTCCTGGTAGAGATGGGACTGGCCCCATCCAGGAATATTAAAAGAAAGAATGGATTTTTATACCAAAAAAAAATAAATGTATATGTACAAATTTAGATCAAAATCAATGAAATAAATAAAAATCAATTCAGCCCCTTCCAGGGTGTGGAACAGCAGCTTTTTGCCAGCTCAGGCCTCACGTTTGATTTGATGGGGCAGGACATAATTACCCTTGAGTTGGTGGTCAGTGGAGCCAACCAACAAGGATTCCACAGGGGAAAGGAGGGTTCCCAATGGAACTGGACTCTCCTTCCCCCTGGCAGCCCATCGCCTGCACCACCAGCTCCGGGGCCTGGCGCTTTCCTGGATCTCAGATGGGATCTCTCTCAGGATCCCACCTCCGAAATTTGGAGCCCAGAGCTCCCAGACTGAAAATGTCCCGGGATTCAGAAGAGCTGCCCCTGAGCCAGAGAGCTCTGGTTGCAGGTTTGAGGCTCGGCTCACACCAGGAGCTGCCCAGCTGGGATGGGCTGTGACACCCAGGAGCAGTTGTGGATGGGTTATGGAATCATTAAGGAATCATTAAGGCTGGAGAAGCCTCTGAGATCATTAATCATTAACTGTCCCCCAGCCAAGGTCACCGCCGACCCATGTCCCCAGGTGCCAGGTCCACTTGTTGTTGAGCACACCCAGGGACACTGCCCTGTTCCAGGGCCTGAACACCCTTTCCATGAAGACATTCCCCCAAATATCCAACCTAGATCTCCCCTCTGGTCCCGACTCCCGGGAGAAGGCCCCGATCCCCCCCAGCTCCAGCCACCCATGTTGGGCGCCTGGATGCGGAACAATCCAACCTGGGCTCGCACCGGAGCTGGACGGGGTCGCTGGGGCTGTTTTTGGGAGGTGGCACCGGGCTGGGAAGGCGAAGGGTCGCTCCAAAGTCCGCTGACGTCAATGGAAACGCGCTCGTCGGCATCAACAGCTGGGATCGGCGCCGGCGTTCCGCTCCTTTATTCCCGGCGGGGGAAAGGTCTGTCCTCTGCTTCAGGGCGTCCCTGGGAGGCCTCACGTCCCTGTCACACCGAGGAGCAGCATGGAATCATCCGGGGAATGGGCCGGGCCCATCCCACGCTTGGCACGTTCCCCCGGAGTGGCTGGACCCCCGCCAGGCCACGGCGCAGGTTTGAGCCCCCACGGAGCGTCCACAACTCAGAACACACGTGGTCCACCCTCCCCAGGGCTGCTCACGGCCAGGAGAGCTCCCAGCAGCAAAGGAATACAGAAATTTTCCCACTTTTCAGCAGCCAAAGCTGCTCCGAGGCTGCGAGGGAGAGTCGTGGCATCCGGCCCGGGGAAGAGAAGGCTTTGGAGAGACCTCCAAGCGTTCTCCAGTGCCTGAAGGGGTTCCAAGAGAGCTTTGTCACCCTTTTTTTTGTTGTTGTTGTCCCTCTGTGTCACCCAGAGGTGGGTGGGTGGGCAGATAGATGGATGGATGGATGGATGGATGGATGGATGGATGGATGGATGGATGGATG